TCGGTCAGCGGGCGCACGGCGAGGATCTGGTAGGTGCTGGCCAGGCGGCCGAGCTTGTGGTCCTGGGCCGGGTCGGATATGCAGACGGTGGCGCGGTGGAGGACGGTGGGGAGGGGGCTGTTATTGTTGTTTTCTTTGATCATCTCGGCTGCTGATTTTGTTCTGGAGAACGACAGCGATGATGACGGTGCGGATGATGAGGTCGAGGGGGCGTGGGATGCTGGTTTGGGCAGCGGGTTGGCGACCTGGCCTATGGGAGGCTCCAAGACGTGGTTCAGGGCTACGACATCGTAGCCTAAGGAGGCGCTGAAGCGCAGGGTCCGGTCGAGGTCTTGGGCGGTGGTGCGCGGTGACCAGGGGATGTTGAGGTCGTATAGCATTTTGGCGACACGCCGTGAACTATCATGGCATCGTGCGGTGAACGAACGTGTTGACGCTTGTTGGTTGCTGAAAGATGGAGAGAGTTTCGTCGCTGGGAGCTTCCAAGGTTGTGAAATTTCTTGGAGCTTGACTGACTGCTGACTGGCCAGGACTGAGAGCCCTGGGTGGAAAGTCAAATAAATCGGCGGGGCAAGTTGCTAGGTACGTACCTAGGCTGCTAGGTAGGTACCTAGGTAGTTTAGTGACATCCATGGATAACGTTAGTGGTTGCAACGGCGCCTTGGGGGGGCCGATCTAGGCCGATTAGGGATTGCTTCAAAAAAGGTCACAGGCTCTGCACAGCACACTTCTACTGTAGCTGTAGCTGGATTGTTCAGCTGTTCTTCAGCAGGAACCTTGGAACCTTGGTCCTTGAGAGGGAAGTTGGAAACAGCCGAGGGCCCCCGGGACTCTTGGCTGTTCAGCACTGCCTCAAAAGTGACGCGCAGGTTGAAGGGCTTTGGGAGGCAAAGCAAGCATCAGGACAGCCAACAGCAGAGACGTACTTGAGAGCTACATTTCACTTACTTCACTTGTTGACACGAATCTCCTATTAATCCGCCTGCCATCACTTAACCTACCGTAACTAATTGCTCCTTCTCTTATTTTTTCGCATCTACAGTGAGTAAGTCATTTGCCTCTCTATATCAAGACTGAGCGCTCGCGAGACGACATCGCCAGCCAGCCAGCCAGACCCGTCGCAAAACCGATACTCTATTCTACCTCCCTTACCTGTCACGCGCGACCGGGCAGACAGACCCAAACAAACCATGTGTCTGATATTTACCTGCGGCGAACATACCTTTCGCAAGGAGGTCGAGGGCTACGAGGGCATCACCTGCCAATGTCACAACTGCGGCAACTACTCGGGTCACGTCGTCAAGAGCAATCCCTGGTTTACCTTCTGCTTCGTTGTAAGTCTTCTTCTCTTCTCTCTTCCATGCGATCACCCGGGGTCTTTCCGTCTTGGGCTTTTGCACAAAACCCCCCCAAACCCTCCCCAAACCCGACAATCTTCCCTCTAACTACTTAAACTAACCCTCACACGCCCGCCCGCGCGCGCGCTCTTCTTCTATCTATCTAGCCCGTCCTCCCGCTCTCCTTCCACGGCTACCAAGACGTCTCCTGCCACATCTGCCACTTCGCGCAGCCCCTCGAGAACCGACCCGATGTGCAATCCATGCGGCACGGCGGAGGCGCCGGAGGGAATAACCTGCCCATGAACCACGGGGGGCCGCCTCCTCCTCAGGGGGCGCCGCCGCAGGGTTGGGGGGGTAACGGCCCACCGCCTCAGGGGCAGGCGCCCATGCGATACGGTTGAGAGAGAAGAGAGGAAAAGCCAGAAGGGGGGCAGTAGTATACTGTTTCTTAAAGATGACCGTCTGACATGGCCACGATTGATTCTGGGGAGCGGTTGAGAGAGAGGAGGGGGGGGGGGGGGGGGGGGGGGGGAAGAAAAAACCACTGTCCGCCCTACTACTACATACATACAGTACGGAGACAAAAGGGGGAAGTGGGATGCATATTTCTCTCCTGAACGCAAAACGCCAAATGGTCAAGAACGGACAGTGAGATTCTGACGTTTTTTCACATGGCGTTAGGGACGAGGGGGGCAAACCGCATGGCGGATGTATATCCCCCCCCCCCCCCCCCCCCTTTGTTTGTTGTACATGCTTTGTCTGATTCACGAGCCTCATTACGAAAGATACCACAACCTCTGTTCTGTTTGCCTTTTTTTGCAAATAGCTTTTATTACAACATTTCAGAACCTTCCAATGATTCCATCCATCGCAGTGAGCGAGGTCTAGACGAGAAGAGAGAAGCAGTAGTTATCATGGTATCGTTTTGTTATGTGTTCATTCAGTGGGCCAAATGTCGTCGAATTCGAGCGGGTTGTTAGTTAGTTACTTCTTATTTAACCTAGGATTCATTCGACTTAAATGCCCAATTTCTGGAAAGTAGTAAGATAGAGCAGTTAGTTACGTGAACATGAGGATTTCCGGTGTTCACTACTTACAGTGGACTGCCAAATTTATTAGGTCCACGTCATAAAAACGCGTCTTTCACGAGCGCATCTCAAATCCACCCTTCTTCTTCAACATACCACAACTCCTCCAAAATTATGGCCGATTTTGAAGCTTTTGCCTCTGATTTAACCGCAAATCGTCACAGAGGTGATGAGTTTACTCCTCCGGAATTGGCGGCCATGGTGACTGCGCTGAAGCTCGGAGTGTCGAGCCGCAAGCTAGCGACGCTTTTCAAGACCTCACGCTCCGTCATCCAATACCACCAAAAGTCGTGGGAACTCAACAAATCGTTCAAAAAACAACCAGGAAGAGGGCGCAAAGCCTTCTCACGCCGTTCACTACCTGCCACGGCCACCGACCCGCCCATCCATCCATCTATCAATTCAGAAGCGCCCTCCACCCTTTCCGCCCAACATATCCCACGACGCCCTCGTCCCGCAAGACATCAGCGCCCCTCCGGCCCGTGATGAGACTCCTCTCGACCTCGGCCCCGCGGACGTAGAACGGGTACGCGAGTCTGCTGCCGTCTGACCCATCCCCATCCCTCTTCTTATGTCCTTCAGTTCTTCTTCTCCTCTGCCAAACAACCCCCTTTTTTTGTTCCCTCTTCCTCCCCCCCTCCGACCTCACGAACCCGCTCCCCTCCCGGTCCAGACTCACGTACCACCTCCGCTGGTGCACGCTCCCGATCGAGTTGTCGGCCCCGGGGTACGCGTTCGTCCTCCTCACCTCGTCGTCCTCGAGCTCGCGGATCTCGCGCTCCGTCGGGGATAGCTCGGGGGTCGTTTGTTGTTGTTCTTCTTCTCCTTCGTCGTCATCTCCCTTGTGGGAGGAGTAGGAGGACGGGGGTACGACCGTCCCGTCTTCATTCTCATCCCCATCGTTGTTGTTGTTGTCGTCGTTATCCGAGTTTGAATCTGACGATGATGATGATGATGATGATGATGACGACGTTGTTTCGTAGTACCTAGCAGCGGCTCTTGTTGCAGTTCTACTACGCTTGGAGGCCGGAGTCCGAGAACCTCCTCCTCCTCCTCTCCTTCTCCTCCGTCGCCCCGTTGTCGCGGCTCGCGAGCTCCGCTGTCGGCCGGCGACGTCCTCAGTCTTGGTCAGTCGCAGGTGCAGAATGTACGGATCCGGGAGCCTAGCGCCGTGGAGGCGCAGGCGGATCTTGCGCGCCTGGAAGGCCTGGTGGAGTTTCTGCTGCTCCGTCGGCTTTTCGTTGTCGTCGTCACCTGCGTCTGATAAAGAGGAATGTGAATCTGTGGTGTAGCCGTGGCGTAGGGACGCCGAATGCGGCAGGATGCTATATGTACCCGTGTCCCAGATCAGGAGGGAACCTGTGGATTCCGAGGCGGTTTCTACTAGGTGGTTCTATACCATGATAGTTATTAGATTTGTAGGTATAATATTGAATGCAAGAGGATTAGGCTGGTGTGAAGATTCTACAAAAAGAAGACTGAGATAAAATCCACATACCCAAAGACAATGAATCCTGGTCTCGGTCGCATTGCGATTCAGTCGCACGCTGTTCGGGTCGCCCGGCAGCCCATACATGATGGCCCACGACGCGCTGCTGGTCGCGTTGATCTGGAGCCGCAGGTCGTAGTGCGTGCCCGCGATGGGGTGGTCGTGCTGATGGATGACAAAGTGGGCGCCTCGCGCGCTTCCCGAGTTCTCCTCGTACAGTCTCCTGTACTCCTCTATCGAGAGTCGCGGTGCGTCCCCCGGGTAGGGTGAGGCGGTACTGCTGCCGAGGCGACTGCTGAAGTAGCCAAGGTGGTCCCTGATTTGCGCCTTCCCTGCCTCGACGGCAGATGTGCTCGGTACGATTTCCTGAACATGTTTATCGGTGGGCGGTTTTCCGCCCTGGAGTTCTCCGGGGGTATTGTCGCTATCTTCAGCAGTGTGATTCACCCCGGTAGTCGGCGAGCTTGGGATCTCTAGGGCCCATTCCAAGTTCCTCTTCTTGATGAAAGGATTTGAGACTAGGTCGGGGCCGGGAGGGCGTTTGGTTGCCATGTTGATGCTATCCTAGGCAATCGGTGCGATATCAAGCACCGTCAAGGACAAGCTTTGGAAGATGTTTTAGAGCTTGTTTGTTGCTGCATAGACATATATAGCCAGCCATCTGATGGCGTGCATAAAACAAGCTCAATGGCGGCATCTGGCATACGAATTGGATGTCTTCTTTATTCAACCAAAGCCTTTCTAATTCATCCCATTAGCGACATAGCTGAAAATCTGATAATAGGTGTCTTTAGTAAATGCTTGCCACAGAATTAAAATCACCCATTCCTGGCAGCCTGGGTAGGTATCATCGTACACATGCCTACGGGGAAATAGTCCACGTACTTGTAAATAGATCACCTGCTTATCAAAGGAAAATTGCACTGGTGGGAGTAGCTCAGAAGAAGAGTGTAAAAAAGGGGGCGATATCCAACATGTGGAAGATACCTACCTAGGTAGGTAATAAGCCTCTCACAAAGAGAGTACAAAAAAAAAACAACTCAATGCCCTCCCTCCCTGCCTGGAGGGAGCAAAAAAAGAGTTTGATCGGAGTGGGACTCGAACCCACGAGGATTGCTCCACTGCGAAACTCCATGAAATTTCCTGAACACAGCGCCATAACCACTCGGCCATCCGACCAGGATTGGTTGTTGAGCTTAGACCCTTTATCGGGGTATATATCGCTCAAAGATCACGAAGGTAGAAGATAATGACCGGTGGAGAGAGAGAAAGCCAGGGCGTGGGGCTTGTGGCGTTAGTCTAGGATGCTTCCAAAGTTCGACCAGGATTGGATTTTATGTCCAGGAATACCAAATTGGTTACTCTCTGCCCCCTTGAAATCATGATCTAAACACACATTTATTATTCAAAAGTGTGCCTGTTCTGTTCTCTGATGCCCAGCAACCCGATCGTTTTCTTCTACCAACGGTGAAGCTGGAGTCAGTGGCCGGCATCATGTAGATGATGGCCCAGAGTTGCCTCGATCAAACCCAGGAATACCGTGCCCTGCACCATGTCTACGCGAAGGCCATACATTGGAAGTGCCTGCATACAAGGCTGGACGGATCACGGGGCACGTTATATCACCGGAATGCCGGTGTTCCTTCCATATCTATATTGTTACTGTCAACAACTTGCTACTCCCGGTTGCTGCGACTTTGCAATCCAGATCCGGATCCCGACTCCCGACACCGACTGCACACCGGCCTGGTAAGGGGATGAAGAAAGTCCCAGCCAGGTAATTCTCTTGCGGTGAAGCGATTCATAAATTTCTTTTACGAGATCGAACCGTAGAGGAGATCTGAAAGCCATCCATCCAAACAAGCTTAACAACATGATCAGGTGCATATTACGCACTCCCATTGGCCCAGTTGTGTCCCTTCTCTCGTCCCTTGCTTCACAATACCTACCAACAACATGTAGGGGTACGCATACATACGGTAGGTGCATCTTCACCAAGATGAATCTCACTCTTCCAGGCATCCAACAATCTAGAGTTCCAACACAGTCAGCTACCTAGAGTCCGGCCTGGTCGTGTCGTAACGACCATCTCCTATAAAACATATCATATAAGCACCTGCGAGGACAGGCTGAAGGAAGATTGGCACGTCTGGCAGTGAACAACACGTCCTCAAATATCCTCTCTCCTTGAGAAATCTTACCAATCAACCAAGGTCTAACAAAAAAAAAAGAACAACATCATGTCTGTGCCAAAAACCCATCAGAAGAAGACCGTTCTTATCACGGGGTACGTAAATTAACGTTGCTATTCTACTTTCTCCAACCGAAATATCCCTCCCAAGGCAGAGAGATAGAGAGAGATGAATGAACCAGACTGAAAAAAAGAACGGAAAATGATCTCACAGCTGTACCCCCGGAGGCATCGGACACGCGCTATGCCTCGAATACCACAAGCGAGGACTCCACGTGATAGCCACCGCGCGCAGACCCGAGGTCCTGGCCGGCCTGGCCGAGATGGGCATGACGGCGCTCCGGCTCGACGTGACCGACGAGGCCAGCATCGGGAGTTGCAGCGAGGAGGTGGCGAGGGTTACCGGTGGGAAACTCGATATCCTGGTCAATAACGCGTGAGTCCAAGTCCCGATGAAAAAAAAGAAAAACTTAATCCGGGTGAGTATATATATATATATCCTATACCAAGGAAGGCCTTGTAAGCCACCGCAGCGATCGATCGAACATCTCAAGCTGACTGACTCTCCGGGGGACGGCACGGGTCTCGCCTGAGGCTCCCCCCCTCCCCGCCCCGAAATCCAGCGGTCTCACCCCTACCTACCCGGCCACGGACCAGCGTCTCGCGGACGTCCGGGCGGTGTTCGAGTCGACCGTGATCGGCGCGATGGCCATGGTCAGCGCGCACGTGGGGCTGCTCGTCGCGGCCGGGGGCCTGGTCGTCAACGTGTCGTCGGCGGCGGCGCACCTGGGCTACGTGTTCGGGACCGCCTACGCGGCGGCCAAGGGCGCCGTCGTCAGCTACTCGCGCGCGCTGCGGCTCGAGCTGGCGCCCCTCGGCGTCCGCGTCATGTGCGTCCTCCCCGGCGTCGTCCGCACCAACATCACCTACTCGGTCGGCCCGCCCGCGCGCCTGCCCGCCGCCAGCCGCTACCGCGCCGTCGAGGACCTGTACCTGTGGAGGGCCCACCTGAACGAGAACAGCGGCGGCGGCATGCCCGTCGGCCGCTTCGCCGAAGCGTTCGCCGCCGCCTCGCTGCGCCCCGAGTACCCGGGCTTCCTGCGCACCTGGCTCGGGCGGCCCGACTGGTTCTGGTGCGGCGGGAGCTCGACCGTCATCTGGCTTGCCAGTTCCATGGGCGAATGGTTCAATGACCTGCTTTGCTTTTATATGTTTCGGATGCCGGAGGTGGAGAAGGTGTTGAGGGATGGCAAGGAGAAGAGAGAGAACTGAAGTGATATATTTTTTGCGGCTCATCGTACGCTGCTGCAGTTGTTTTGGGCTATTCTCAACCTTGTTCTTAATGACCCTCGGAACTCTTTTGACTTCAATACCAGAGATGCTTCGAACCATCTCAGAGAAGACACGTACGATGTGGAGGGTGAAGAGATGATTTCGGTGATCCAATGATTATATGCCCCTGTGCCATTGAGGTTGCGGAGAGGAGTAGGTACACCGAAGACTTCCCACAACAGAGGCATGCTCGCTTTCTGTACCATAGGGGGCCATAGTCACGATTCGATAGCGTTGAAAATACTCGACCCCATACTGTCTACCCCTCGAGGGACGAAATGATAAAGAGACTACCAGTGTGTGGCCTTGGCGGACTTGGCCGCCCATAACAGCCCCGATTTTGAAAGAAACACGGATGAATGGTCAGCCCCTGAAACGGTATGGATGAATCCAAGCGGCACATGGAATTCTTGTTCCATAGGAGAGAGCACTCGCATGATAAATCTGATATATACATGTATCATTCGTCTTACTTGATTGAATATAGCATAATCCGAGTCCCGATTGAGACTTATTTATGCTGCTTATACGATTGATAACGAACTTGCTGTGGTGGTGATGCCCACCACAAACAAAGTCGGGACAAAAGGAGCATGTAGTATTGATTCGATAGACTCGCTATCCCTTTTACGACAGCGACACGTCGGTTCTGCGCCAGCGGTCACCAACAAGCATGAGCTGCAGCTTGAACTCCCAACAGAAACGACCTGCAGTGCTCGAAAAGAGTGCCAAAAAAAAAAAAAAAAAAAAAAAAAAAAAAAAAAAAAAAAAAAGCGCCACAGAAATCTTTCGGTTTTTGCAATGACTGCGGCCATGGAGATGGCGACATAATCGGTCATTCTTGCACGTTGGCCCTTCAACAATTTCAAGAAATATAATCCGGGAATCGCTAAAAATTAAATGTGAAAAAAAAAAAAGGGATCGCGGTCAGTTTATGAGCAAGTGCAAGAGCAAAAACGAAAATGACAAGTACTCTCTCGATCGGGGAATTGAACCCCGGCCACCTGCGAGCTGTCTTCAGCTGGTTGAAGTGAAGATGACAAGCAGGTATCCTGACCACTAGACGAATCGAGATTACTGAAAAAAACTTGCATTATTGGGGCTTATGATGAAAATCCTTCTTGATTCGGGCCGAAGCTGTTCAGCCAAACTTGTGCGACCCCAAGGGCAAAGCGGAGGGGTCCGGAAACCGTCTCCAGCAGGCAGGCAGGTCTCAACATGCAAGGGGCGCGCTACAATGCATCGAGCCAGGCTCGGATGAAGCGGTCTTAAGAAAAGACGCAGCGCAGGGCGTCAAAGCGACATGATTCGAAATCTCAGCTTGTGACGCCGTGACTGGTGATCCAACAGTAATACTCCGTACTTACTCCCGTTCGAACCAACCCCAAGATTTCAGGCATACAAGAAGACACTCAGTGTGCAATAACGAAGTCCGTTTTCACCTACTAGTATGTAACCCAGTGTCTTTCTTTTTAGACGCAGAGAAGGCGGCTCTTATTACGCTCTGCTTACCTACTTGGGCAGTTACTGTATTCAAGTTCTTGCGGTTATAAAAACGTGGGGGGTCACACGGCAATTCCCCCGCTAAGTACGTGTCGAACGAGCCTCTCTCTATCCGGATGGTGAGCCAATGATGACTAGGATACCTCTTTGCATCGAGTAATTTGTAGCGAAGAAGGGTGACGAGCCAGACACAGATACCTAGGTAGGTAATGTCTATGTAATCCACGGGGCAAGTAACAAGCTTGGCGGTGTGTTGTAAGTACTTACTCAATTGCCATCGCCGTCGCCGTCGCCATCCGTTCGTTACCGGTACACATTTTAAGTCTTATGGGTTGCCAGGTGCATGCTTGCTTGTCCGTCCCGAGAATACCCCCGCCTCATCGAATCATGCATTCCCTACGGTACGAAGTACGAACGTAACATATACGCTTGTGTAGGTAGGTAACATACAGTAACCTTAGGCTACTTGCATATGAAGCTACAAAAGGTCGTGTGACTCGGGGGGTGACCTATCCAATTACATCTCGTTGGGTACACTACAGTACCAAACCCCCTCGGCGGCTACAGTATCACCCACTTCCCGGGGCCTTACGGCACCCTCGTGCATACTGCTTGCTCGCTGCAAGTCAAGACGCAGCAAGCAACGTGGTTGGGTCCGTCAACGTCAAAGCAGCGTGCGTGGTAAGTATCCTCTAGGTTAGGTATGTACCTCCTCCTCCTCACCCTTGTTGCTTTTACCCCCCTGTGGCAGGACTCAACATTGGATGTTTCCCCCCAAACTACTACACCCACAACGACAATAGTAGGTATGTCAGGTCCTTGATGATCCTAATAGGAGGCGAGAACGAGGTCGTAAAACAAAGGCCGAGATACCGAAGAAAAAAAAATCGGTTCCCCCCCCCCCCCCCCCCTTCTAACTTTATTACCCAGCACTTTCTATCGTACGCATGTAGAGACGGGAACATGTTACCGCATCTCCCGGTAGGTAAGTTAAGTACCTACCTAGGTATGTAGGTAGTATATCTATACAGCCCCTCACCGATGTATGTACATGTCTTTTTGACAGCCTGCGAGACGACCCGGGGGAGGAACCATAAGCTCTCCGATTATGGTTCTCTCTATCACCTCACCTTAGACCACGCGCTGCAATTGTCACCTGTGCCTGCAACAACCCACATACAAAGGGCAGATTATCAGGTCAGAAAGTAGGGGGGAAAAAGGGATGTCGTTTTAGTCTCATCATTCTACAAGAAAAGGCGTAAGATAGTAACAGCGTGACAGGGTTACGATTGGTGGGAAATGTAACTGGGGCTCACGCTCGTACAGTATCACATGCCGGTAAGTAGCACGCCAGAGCGCGTCGTAACAGGTGTGACACCACCACCACCACCACCATCAGGAGGAGACAAGACGAGACGAGACGAGACGAGACGAGACGAGACGACGAGGAGGCCAGCTTCTGTAAGATAAAATGCAAAATATCGTATGCTTACCTACCTAAGGTAGAGACTGTCGGCATTCTTTACTTGGCATCATCTTCATCTCCTCCTGTCAGGTAAAAATTTCCTCTTGACCATGTTTCGAAAAAGCAAGCCACCATTGTTATGTTACCTGCCGCGGTGTACGAGAGACATTTCAACCCCACGAACTTTCAATATGCAGCAGCTGGAGACGTAACCCAGGAAGGCTTACTTTACGGGTGTCTCGCCGGTCTCGAAGGTGGGTTGGTTTGTTTCGTTCGTTCGTGACCTACATGCATGCATACATTCGCGGGTAGAACAGGTAGAAAAAAAATTGAGGTGCATGAAGCTTCTAACGTACATACATACATACAACAAGAAAAGCATGATGCTTCTCCTCGTTCTTCATGCCATGCATAAGGATTTCTACTCGCTCGTAACGCACGTATCTATCTACTTTATGTATATACGTACCCACGGTGACCATATTCGTACTTAACTCTATCCACTTACATCTAGTCCAGCAGCACACACACACACACACAACTGCAGCAAGGACGCCGGGCCGCCACGTCCCCGAAAGGGAGAAGCATGCTTCTAAACAAACGTTGGCAGCAGGTATGCAGATAACTAACAAACAAAGCATCACAGCTTTCTCTTCCTTCCCCCTTCCCCCTTCCCCCTTCCCCCTTCCCCGCAAGCAGACCAGACCACCATGTAAGTATAGCAAGGTAAAAACTGATTCTTTGCCTGACCTCCCTCCCTTTTTGCTCCGTACCGCCCGCCGCCTGGTAGCTTGGTCGCTTGCTTTGCTTGGTTGCTTTGCTTGGTTGCTTTATCAGATCTATAGTAGAGATTAGACTACCTGTTAATTGATTGATATATTCCCAGGTAGTTAGTCTAGGTAAAGTAGTAAAAGAAAAAAAAATAGTATACCTACGTGAGTTGGATACCTTACATGGAGACATAGATAGATAGATAGATAGATTCAGGCTTGATTTTTTTTCTCGTAGAAGACGACAACGACAACGATGGTGATAATGATTATGATGATCATCATCATCATCATCGAAAGGTGAAAAAGAAGAAGGAGATACGCTCTCTTCGTATATTCTATTATTCATCATGTTCGCCGAAAGGGTATATGTATATGTACGTATGTATGCATGTATGCATGTATGTATATCTGTTTTCTCCTTTCTCTCTCCTCTCTCTTCCCCGTCAAAGAGGACAACAAGCCTCCTCCTCCTCCTCCTCCTCCTCCTCCTCCTCCTCGAGACACGCTCTTTTCTTTTCTGTTGTTTTCCTTTTCTTTCCCCTTCTGCCTCCTCCCCATCCCTTCGCCGTCGGTAACCCTGTTTGACAGCTCAAACCGAGCTGTCTGTTACCTCCCCCCATGACCATGAGCGAGGTATAGGAATGTGATGGATGGTATCAAAAGAAAGAAAGAGGAGTAGGAGGATGAGATCCAGTAGAGAGAGATAGAGAGAGAGAGAGAGAAAGAAAAGAGAGGATGTTCCGTGCATTAGCAAGCAACGCCATCATCATTAGCATCATCCGCCTGCTCGTGCAGATCTTACTGTACAAGAGGCAGCTCCCGCAGGAGAGTGGAAAAAAACAGAGCTCCAAGCATCCCGCTCGTTCGGCGTTATCTGTCGGTTCCGTGGAAATAACACCGTTCGTTGAGTTTCCCTCCCTCCCTCCCTGCCTCCCCCCAAATGCTACCTTGGTTGGGAGGGGTGTGTCTTTGCAGCTTAGCTTTTGCGTTCTCTGTATCCAAATCAATCATCGCTGGTCACTTCTTTGTGTCAAACCGGGCCGGCCCCCACCCCCTTCATTTACCCCTGATCCAGGTCCTCCCAAAAAAGAAGTCGACATGATTGGTTTCGTTTTCTCTTTTTTTTTGTATAGCCTATCGTCATCCCGTGTTTTGCGTCGTTACCTACTTTACAGATAGATCATGATCATTGCAGTCATTCCATTTCGCACGCCCACCCCCCAATTCTTTTGACCTTCCTATCGTGTCCGGTCCTGTCGATATCGTCCTGTGAAACCCCCCACGAGATGTACATGTGCTAGAAGATGAGAGAAAAAAAGGGGACCTGTAGATACTGTAGGTAAAATAGATGAGTGCGAGTGGGTACATGTGCTTCGCCTTGCTCCGGCTGGTGGTAGTCTGCGCAGTAACATTCTCGAGTCGTAGGTCGTAACGTGGTCGATCGTGCCATGACCGAGAAAGAAGGTGGCATCTACTAGCGTGTTTCACGATCTCAGGTTCGACCTGGTCTATCGTCGCTTATTCATGGTCTCAGCAATGGAACTACCATTATCGTAATCCCAATGCCGCTTCATCCCACCCTCGTAGACGCTAGCGACCGACTCTTGCCACATTGCTGGTGTGACAAAAGTCTGCACCGACGGGGCCGTGTACTGTTGGGGAGGCAGAGGCTGCGATACGGCTGGGAGGGATCCCGTCGCGATTTGAATGTCCTGGGTGGTTGGGACTTCGGGGGCACCTGAAGATGAGGTAACGTTTAGAGAGTTGGACTGGGGGGCTACCGACACCGGCGGGGGTTCAAGCTGGGGCGTACCAAAAGTCGTGTTCCATTGGCTATTTGATCTGGATCAGCACACGTCGTTATAGGGCAGGGGGCTCACCGGCCACGGATTTTAGATTAAAAAAGGGGGGGTCTTAAAACTCACTCAAATATACGAGAGGGGTTCCAGGAGGTATGTTCCGCTACTGGCAAACTGTGTGGGAGAGGAGTATGCGCGCTCTGGCCGGAAGCCATCATTGACAGTGACTGTATGGCAGGAGAGTCACTCTTGTTGTCTCCAGAACCAGCAGAGATGGGCGTAATGGGATGGTTGGCATAACTGACTTGGGAATGTTGACCGCCGTGAGACTCCAGACCCGGATCCAAAGAGGTCGTCCGCAGCATTGGGGGCTTGAAAGTGTTGGCCCTCGGCGGGCTGGACTGGTTGCTGGGGTGAGGACTTCCGTAGGGGAAGCTAGGCTTCAGGACGAACGGTTTCCTGATATCGGCCGAGAACGCTTCCCGCACGGCATCGATCTGCTTGATCATCTCTGGTAGCGGCCAGGACGGCATA